TTCTCACGGCTGTTTCGCTAGGAACAGCTATTTTTCTAGTTATTATCATTTTAGTGTGAGATTGTGCTAAAAGAAAATATATTTTTATTTTAAGGCATTTTTACCAAGAGGGAAAACATTTTCCCCCCGCATCTGGGTCACTCTTCTCCTTCCTCTGACTCACATGTAAGCACCTCAAATACCTTCCGCTGTTCTCTGTGTTATTCTTCAGTTGTGGTTGGAGAAATTTGTCCCAAACATGCATTGAAGAGATGACTAGTGATTCAGACCCTCTGCTGATTGCTTCTAATCATCCCACATGTAAATCACTCCTCAGGTGTATTTCTTATATGCAGAGAAACCTTTGTGAGCGGTGAGCAGCAACTAATGTAAGCTGGATTTGATCAAACACTAACAACCTCACATTTGTGCAACCATCATTCAAATAACTTTTTGAATAATTACTATTTACTGCACTTTCTGTGGTTCCCTCCTAGGGACAGAGAGACTAAATTAGCTGTGTTCAGTTGTGTTACAAGGATTAGTGCATTGCAGAGGGGATCACACTTACCTGCAGAGAAAAGAAAAATCAGATTCATTTTATCATCTCAGCTTGACTTTATCAGTAATATTCATTCATTTTTCTCAAGTTTTTGTAATGTATTTTTTTAGCATGTCATGTAAATCAATAGCTGGGGCTTCTCTCTTAATTTCCCACCAAACCAGCAGAAGACCCTTTGAAATCCCCACGCATGGTAAGTACATGTAATCATTTAGAATCATTTTAAATGTCAATGCTTAAGGAATCCCGAGGATCCAGTTTTAATGGGACAATAAAACCGAACCACACCGTTGTTTCTCTCTCTCTCTCTCTCTCTCTCTCTCTCTCTTTTTTGTTTAAATTGCAGCCTCACTTCAACGCTGCCAGCTCTGTAGCACTCGTAAACACATTCGCACCTCTCTTTTATTTAAATGTCGGTTAAGTTATGGCACATAATTGAAGAGCGAAAAAAAAAATGCATTTGAATGGTGTCTGGCGGAGCAGGTCCAATCCACAAACCCACACTGATTTAAAAGCGCACAGAAAGGAGAGACAGGACAAGTTTCTGTTCCTGGAAGAACAAAGGCACCTCAACAATCAAGTTAATTAAAACTACTGCTGGTGTCAGAAATAAAGGGAGTTATATTCATACCCATTAATTACTTTTTAAAAAAGTACACAATTTGCATAATTAAGTGACTTAAAACTCATCTTCTTTAAATTAGATTATCACGCAGTGTTGTCTTTATTAAGGTCTAATTTCTTCTTTTTTAAAAGTTTTAAGGAAAAAAGATCCTACTTAAAAAAAAAAAAAAAGTAAAACCATCTCCTTGCGTTTTGCCCACCAGGAGAAAAAAAAAAAAATCTCTAAAGCTGATGGTCTCTCTGCGATTACCCTATCAGGTGCAAACCGCTGACATGTTTCCACCCACCAACAACAAAAAAGCCTCTCTGTGCCCAAATCTCCAGCCGCAGACGCACAAACACCGCTGACAGGCAGGCAGGCAGCGCTGCGCTTTCATCAGCCTCTCCAGGGATCTACGACTTTTACTGTCACTGCGATATTTTTTCATTTTAATTTCACCTGGATAAGTTTATCTGCTTGACTTGTCTTTTGAGGACCGCTTTATTTGATTTTTTTTTCTAACATTCCTACATTGTTAGAATAAAATGTGCCTTGCAAGGTGTAGAAATCCCCCACAGGTACGGACCAAGATGAAGAGCCTGTGATCTCTGGAGGAGCAGAAGCTCAAAGGATATTTTTTTAAGTAAGGGGGATTTTTTGAGACGTCGCAGCTTGGCTCCAGTTTAACGTGAACTTTTGATACTCCGAGGACCTGATCTGAGAAGTTAATCTTTGGGATAGTTCCCCCAACAAGGAAGCGCCCAATGTTGTACTCCGTGCCTTTCCTGCTGCATATATCCTTACATTGGGATTCAGTCTCCTGCTTACCGCCGGAGTTGTGTGCGTAAAAAGACGCGCAGCGGAGCGAAAGTCAGAGAGAGACAGAGAAGGAGGCGATCGCGCCAACCTTTCCCGGGGTTCAGAGTGTGGAAGCAGGTGTATTTGAGCCGTCTTTCTGAAAGCCAAGATGTCCGTGCTGCCTTCGAGGTTCCTCTACCTGTAAGCGCTTCACATCTCTCTTTGCTTTTTTGTTTTTTTTTACACATAAACTCATGCATTCTTACCAATAGAAGTCGCCAAAAACTTCATATTTGTGCATTGCTGTCATCCAGGTAGGCTGCGTTTATTTTCCATGTAATTGCCCGTGTGATTCACTCCCCCTTCTCTCCTCCTAGGTGTTTACACTTTCTGGTTTTCTACTTCCAGCTGCAGGTACGTTTACTCTCCTCTTATATTCTTTTTTTGCATGTTCATGTGCAGCTTTTTTTTATATGAGTCATGATAGAAGAATGGCCATGTGCTGTTTTCAGGGCGTTTACTATAATATAAAACGCTACAAACTAGAATCAACACAGATGTGGGAAAAAAAAAACAAAAAAAAAAACATTTTTATTAAGTTAGTATATATCAATAACTTGACTGAATGTAATCTGTTTGCATTAAAAATCACAAAAGCGAGCCTTTTATAATAGGTTTAATTATAAAAGTCGTAAATATTTAACGTTCTTGTTTGCAGTTGAGGATTCAAGTAGCATTTTTCACTAATTCACAGCAACAGCTGGGTTGTAAACATGTAGGTGCCTGGGGTTGAAATTTGCAGTTTGAACAGATGACTCGTTTGGCGTTTGTTGCCTTGTTTTTACTAGTTTCGTCTTACTTTGAACCATAACGATTTGCAGACATCCACTCAGCTAATTGACTGCGTTGGCTTTGACTCAGCCGCAGCCCCTTTCCCCCCACCCCACCTTTCCCGTATTAAACTGTTTATCAGTTCATTGTGTGTCGTTTTTGATTGTTTTAAATAAAAATCCATGCTTTTCTCGTTTTAAAGATACTAAATTTATTAAATAAAAGAAATAGCGTGGAACTAATAAAAACATAAATTTAACAAAGTATCAAATAAAAAACGCAGCAAATATTTGATGAAAAAAATTCTTGCCCGTTTTACGTCTAGATTTTTTTTCCTCCATATTGTTTTATTGCATGTTCAAATTTGGGTATTCTCATAAAGAAACAATTTCTGGTGAACTCATGCACAATTTGACTCATTTTTGGGTTCTAACAGGATAACATGTTTTTTATTGCTTTAAACATATTGAATCATGGATAAAAATAATGTGCACTCTTGTTATTTTTTGATATTAGAAAAAGGCAAAAGATAATTCTCATTGTTCATCTCTAAGTATCTTCCTGTAGCTCATAAATATTTCTGGTCAAACTGATGTTTATGATTTTATGAAGGAAAACATAGGAAATGAACTGCAGTTGGAAGTGAGGGTATCACCAGCATGAGAGTGCGCTTCAGTACCTCCCTGCCTGCTTGTGTTTGCGTGTGTGTGTGTGTGTGTGTGTGTGTGTGTGTGTGTGTTTGTGTGTGTTGTGTAGATAGCATTGCATATCTTAGATGGATGCAACAACTGAGCTTCCTCTGTGAAGGCTACGGCCAGACTTTTTGATGTAGAGACAATATCCGTTTTCATGCTGCGTCTTTGCAGGAAGGAGACGGTGTGATAAAAACTATTGTCGCAAGCATTCACCTCAACCATGTGCTTAGGCTTGCCTCTCCATTGAGATGAAATCCAACTGTCTACCGAGCACACCTTTGTATTTGTTTAGAGAGGGGAAGATTTGGGATAAATCCCTCAGCAGCTCAGCGAAGCTATGTTTTGTTGTGTGGTAGCTCTTTTTTCACTCCTCAGCTTTGAGGTTCATGTTTGACAACAGATCACGCTGATGAACAGCTTTGAACATATTTGTGGAGAGTTTGGCATGAAGTGCTTGCAGTTGGAAACATGTCTCAGTCGAAATTGGAATGCAACATCTTCGGCTGTTGCAGCAGTGACACCTTCTCCCCTCATTTGTCTAGCCGTTGTGGCTGTTGCAGTTTTACCGACATGCCGAGAGAAAGCAGCAAAGCATGACTTTCTGTTTGGAAACATATATATTTATATCCAGATTTATTGTTTCGGTCCAAGTCCAAACATGTGCTTTACTCTGCAAAATGTGAATCTTTAGAGCAGGGTAGGGTTTGGGTTTTTCTTGTTGAGGCTGTTGTTGTCACATTCTGTCCAATTGTTTTTTGTATCCAAGTGATTTCAAAGAAATTAAAACACAGAAGATAATGGTCGGTGTAAGAAGCAATTTTCATATTTGTCAAAATCAATATTACACTCTCAAATATGTTGTTTTTTAAGTTTTAAGAATGGTTGTTCTTGAGGGTTTATTTGTGGCAGAATGTGTATGTCAAAGCTTAAACGAGGCATTTTAGAGATAAGAAAACATCTGAATGAGGATGAAGGACATCAGGAGCCTAAACAAGTTTGCATTTGGATTTGAAGAAGTTGTTTGTGTTTCCTGTCTGATGTAAAGGATTTGTTCTCCGGAGGTTAATGTTTCCCCTTGTGTTTTTGCTGCATGTCATCAATTGACTGAAGTTAAATCAACAAGCACTCTGAGTATGTAATCTGTATATAATTAGCCACCTGAGATCAGCCACATAAAAAGCCATTACTGTGCAATTACCACACCATATACAGCTGGGGAGATGGGATCACGGCGTGAACTGAGATTCCAGGGCTTCTGAAAGTATACGTTTCCTCTCACTCTTCCACATGTTTGGTCACAGTTGCTTTTCTGACATGCTGCCAAATATTTTTCCACATCTTTATGTCAGATCTTAGGTAACTCAGAAACATCAAGATGGTGAGAGGCAGAAGGGAGATTTTTGCAATTTGATTAAAAAAAAATCTCCAACAAGAGAGTCTTTGTGGTTTAAGGTGCTTCTTTCTTCCTTGCTCATGTCCTCCGCCTGCTGCATTTTCTAATTTATGGACCCTATTTGGCCTACAGGCAGATATTTGTTTGATGATAGTGCAACAGGTCTGGATGCTTCAGGTGTATAATTGCTAGTGGCTTGGTTGCTTGTGGAAATGAAGTACAGGTTTCTCAATACTGCCTGAGGCACACTATATACTGTGCCCCAGTGCTCACAAACAAGGCTTTTCTGCAGGCTTTGCACTTGTTCTGTTGGAGTTTTACTCAAACATACTCTCCATTAGTGCGTGTGCTAACGTAGTTAGCTTTTGTAAATGCAGTGCATATAAAATGTGCCACCTTAAAGGGAAGAAACAATAAATCTCTGCAGCTACAAATTTCTATGTTGTTATCTTGGTTTTTACACCCTAAAGCACTTTTCTTTTGACATAGAGCCCATAAAACCAACATCACATATTACTATCAACACCTGTGTTTTGACAGTCTCATTGTACATTTCCTCTTGTGCAGGAATCGCAGCAGAGCACTGCCGATTTCAGGTTTTACATTGAAAACCACACGAGGAACCCGGACGACCTGAGCCGAAAGCAGGTCCGGATCTACCAGCTCTACAGCAGGACCACGGGGAAACATGTCCAGATCCTGGGGAAGAAAATCAACGCCAATGGAGATGATGGGGGCAAGTATGGTATGGGAGAATTTCTGTGCATCTCACTTGACACTTTAGCTAGTCTGAGATCGCAAATCCAGCAAAAATAAAAGTTTTGGTGCTTCTAGAAACTCCTTCTTAACTCCGACCCTTTAGGCTGTTTGCTCTTCATTGTTCTGAGGTGGTTTTCTGTTTGCCTAGTGCAGGAGGAGTTGGTTTTGGAAGACAGACATTAGTGAATGAGGATGGATGAAAAACTGCCGAAACTACAACCGTTTCTGAGGATCTCTGTGATGCCAAATATCGAAGATGCACCAAATCAGTCAGACAGATCTTGGCTCTGACCAGTGACTAGCAGATCTATGCTGAAAAAGTCTTAATTTTTCTCTTAATGTTTTATTAAATTAATCTAAACTAACATCCATCATTTTCAGTCTATATGTTCATCAATAAACAGCCTCTACTTGATTCACCTCCTGAAGTTTAACAGAAAAAATCAGATAATGGTTAAATAAATTTGCTTTAATGCATAGACCTTAATGATCTTATGAAGCCATCATACCATGTTGGATTCAAAAGCACTCATTCTGTAAAGGAACATGTAGCATACACTTTGTCTTTTATCTGTTACTGACCCTGAAAAAAAATGTCAGGTTGAGCTTAAAATAAAGCCAAGAAAAGTTGGTTAGTTGCATTTCTAGAAAATATCTGTTGTTTGTTTTCTTGATATCACAAAAAAGGTGTTGATCTTTGTTCATTTTTTTTCCATCAATGTTTTGGTGAATGTGATATTTCTTTCATGAGGAAAAGTTACTCTTTGCCTCTTTAAGGTGAAGGTTGAGTATTGGTTATTTAAGCAATAGAGCTGATAGATCTTTTATACTTGAAAATGTTAAGCATTTAAACATAACCACAAAAAAAAAAAAAAAAATGCCGCTGGAGGATTTTGGTCTGAAATGAATTATCTGCCTTAAATCTCACCACTTAGCTCTGCACATGCTTTTTCATTACTGCAGATCAAATATGGCGGATGGCTAAATTGATGGTCAGTAAAGCACTCTTTGATGTAGCCTGTGCCGCGCTTCCCTGCAGATATTTTTTTCTCATAACAGCTGACTCACAGCTCCAAAATTGCCGGTCTTGAATGCCTCTGAGTCAGTGTGTTCAGTTGCAGATGCGCGCAGGCGAAGTTTCCTCACTGCTTGTTAGAGCTTGAGTGGAAGCAGATCCAATTTTTCCCATGAGCCTTTGCCAATTCTCTCCCCCTCTTCCCCGTCCCTCACCACCTCCTCCCCATCCAGCTGCAGTACCTGGCACCTGTGAACTCCTTTGCACTCACTAGTAATGTTCACTTTGAAAGATTGTAGTCTGGCGGCAAAAGGCCCAGAAAAGAAAAACAAAACAAACAAACAAAAAAAAAACAGACATACCAAACTTGGTTGAAGACCTTTGACTTCAGATCTCATATCTCTACATCTGAAGTACAAGAATTATAATCCATCACAGGTAATAGTATATCATATGTGTTTCTTTAAAAAAAACAAAACACACATCTTCCAGATCTGTAACTGATGTCTGTTGTCCTCTAACAGTGGGCAGTGTAATGTAAAAACACAAATCTAATTGATAAATGCTGCAATGTGGAATAAAAACATAACACAAAAATAAATTTATGTTTGACTTTTTAGACAGACGTCTATCTGTTGAGGTCAACATATGGCTGTAACTGCCATTTTTCATATTGTTGCAAAGCAGAGATTAATATTTTCTTTCACTCACAGCCATCCAGTCTGCTCAGCATTTGTTTCTCACGTTTTGATCAGATTTCACTCAAATTTATCTAATTTTAGCTTGACATCCTTAGGAAAATGGAACAAAACCCGCACTCAAAATGCTATTCAAAAATAAAAATAAAAGCAGTTTCTTGTGTTTTGCAATCTCTTACCAAGGGAGGATGTTAAAAGATGTATTTTGGGTATTTTGGGTGCGTTTTCTTCATGATGTACATATACCAGTATTCACGTAACAAAATCAAAATCAGGAAAAATACAAAGAAAATACAAAATATTGGGATTAAACAAACAGGAAAAAGAAGAAAAGAAAGGAAACGTCTCATATAACTCAGCTTTCTCAGATTATAACACAACAGAATAAACTACAGATGGCTATCCTCCTTAAAATATATTTATTACTATATACAACATTATGTGTCATAATTTTTTGCTTAATAAGATACTTCAAATTGAGTAAGAGATTAGCTGTTATGAAATCATCATCCAAATATTTGAATGGTTTTATTTTAGAAACAGAAATACACATCTGGTTGTCAGTGTATGTTTATGATCCATTTTTCTCTTAGAATTCTAATTTGATGTCCCCTTCCTACTGAAACACCATTTGTAAAATCAAATAGATTCTAGTTTCCAGAAATGATTGCTTTTATTCCAGTTTTTAGTAGTTCCACACATGTCATACACAAATTAAAATGTTTAAAGTCCCAAGGCTGAACCTTGTGGGACTCCATATTTAACTGCACTAATACTTTACTGTTAAGCTGTGCAAACTTTAATTTTGTTTGGTCAAATAATTGATGTGCTCCTCTCATCTTATAAACATGTTTTGATTAAGATTGTAATTATGTAACACTTAGTTAGTGGTACTGATGACAATAAAGTTTATAAAAGGGGAAATGGTAATTGTAATAGGAGTTTGCCTCGCAATTGAGGGGTTGTTGGTTCGATCCCCACTCCACCCGCCTCATTGTCACTTACACACCTTGCCTGCTGGTGGGGGACAGAGAGTCTAGTGGCGCTGGTGCATGGGAGCCTCACCTCTGTCAGACCTGCCCAGGGCAGCAGGGGCTACCATACAATAGCTCGGAATGGGTGAATGACTGTAGTATGAAGCGCTTTGGGGTCCTCTGGACTTGATGAGGTGCTATACAAGTACAAAGCTAAACTATTTAAATTTTATTATGATAATGACACTTTCACTGATATGCTTAGAATCCAAACCTTAGGTTAACAAGCTTGGTTGGGTTACAGACATTGAATTTGCAAAAGGAGAGGAAAGAAAAGGTTGAAAACTATTCTATAAATATGTGAACTGGTCGGATTGGATTCTGCTTTTTCTTAAGTGCAGCTCAAGAGATCCAAACTAATCTATCTAATTGTAAAACCAAGGTGGTACCACAGGAGAGGGAATTGCTATCCCCTCCCAAACTTTTCAGAGAGGTCACCTACTTCCCACCTTTTCTCTTAAGGTTTGATTTTAGGGCGGGAGTTACTTCTGCCCCCAAGCCCATCCCATTCCCTTCCACTATTCTTCCCCTGCTCCCTTGAGCGCTACTGAATGGCCCTGTGTGTTAAACAAATGGATCATCTTAACTTTTTGATTGAGTGAGCACAAACTAAAGGGAACTTGAAACCTAATCCTGAGGGGCACATAACTGCTCCACAAACGTTTGGCAGATTTCTTTGCTGGTCTGAGGGCGAGCGGAGACAAAGGTGACCTTGCAGGGGTGAGCATGTCGGATGGGAGCAGGAGCGGGGTGTCGGGGGCTCGGGAGAATAAAGGAGCCGTCAGGATACATCTTTAGAGCGCATTATTGCCATGTCAAGTCATGACAGAGACCTGTTGGTTTGACTGGTCATTAATTTTACCAAAGCTACTTGGTTAAAATAGCTTTGGTGTTTATACCAAGAATAGATTCCTACTAATGCTTGGAATCTTAGAGACTTTTTTATAATAAACAAAGAATTACCTGTTGTGCATTTTTAACTGAATCGCTCAGTATTTGAAAGCTACATTTAAGAAAACCATACAATGCATGTAAAGGTGTTTTTTGTCTTGCGTGAAGAAATTTATAGGAAGAAAGTTTGTGCTAGAAGACAATTCAGTGACTCTTACTAAGTCTGCTGTGTCTTTTCTTTTCCAGCCCTTCTTGTTGTGGAGACGGAAACATTCGGAAGTCACGTTCGAATAAAAGGAAAAGAAAGTGAACATTATATTTGCATGAACGACAAGGGCAAAATTGTTGGAAGGGTGAGTATGACTGAGTTTATTTATTTTGGAATATTTTCAAAAGATTAATTTGGCAACACCTTAATATTAGAACCTGTATTTTCTATACCTAGCTTTTAATCCTATTTGAATTTAGTAGGACCTCATATCGTTTTTCTCCTTGTGTTTTCTGCTCAACCGAACAAAACCCCTTTGATAACTCAAAGCCATTCTTCCATTATGTAATCGGCCAACTCCTTTGACACTCGATCAGTCAATTACTGACTGCAATCATCACAATGCATCGAGAGACTAATGGTCACTTAAGAGGAATTTTGTTGCAATTCTATCACTTAGTCACACCAGGTGGCCACAAGAGCAAGATGACTGCATCTGACCGCAGAGAACCACTTAGATGTGCAAAAATAGTTGAAAAAGTTTGTCATCCTCAGAGACACATAGTTTGGTTCCATTAATAAGTCAGACTGCTTGTATATTTAGCTCCCTTTTTCTATAGATGTAAATGGGATGAGTTTTTCTTTTTTTTTTAGAAAATGAAAGTAGGATAAACTGCTTTTTCATAGTAATGAGCAGAGTGTTCACAGTTAGATTTATTTACACATTTACTACAGGATGTGCTGGAATGCACACCACTGTCTGAAGTAATGGTTGTTATGAACCCAGTGTTTTTGCCTGAAAAGACATAAGTTATCATCTTTACTCAATTTTCATTATTCCATTAAACTAATATTTTATTTTATGACACATTTTTAACTCACTCTAAAACCTTTTCAATACAAATAAGCATGGAGTGAAGCTATAATTTTGTGATGTACAGCACTTTGAACGGCCTTGCTGCCGAAATGTTCTCTACAAATAAACTTGATTGATTGACAGTTATATAAAAACCTTCATTATGCATAGAATAGGATTGCCCATAAAAATCTATTGGTAAATCTAATGGATTTACCAGTATTTAGGAGAAATGCACTGATCAGAATTATGTGTACAATTTCTGATTCTTAGTTTTTTCACAACTTTTCAAATTATCTTTGGGGCCTATAATATAAAAAAGATGAAGAACCCTGCCATGAGCCGTTATTTATAATTTATATTGGGACTAGAAGAGAAGTCACTTCCTTGTTCGATAGCAGAGCCAATGTAAAGCAGGGTTTTACTGTTAATCTCAAAAATTAAAATATAGTGACTATGAAGTGGTTGGCATGGTTAACATTACAAAAATAGTGTCATCTTTGTGTATTTCCTGTAGAAAGAAGCAGCCGACCTGAACTCTGACATTTCTGAAAGGCTGCTAACACATTGACTTGCAGACTGTTTCATAACAGAACTTGGAAAAACCCAAAAGGATAAAAATAAACGACTTGTACTCAGTCCATCCTTCCTATTATCTGCTTAAAGTCTTGCTCTCTCTCACTCTCTTCCAGGGAGAGAATAAATCACAATATGTTCAGGTGTCTTGTAGCAAATATGTTTTTCTTTTAAATAGGTTCTCAGATTATTGGGCTTTCTATTACCTATGACTAAAAATCTTTACTGATTTTGAAGATATTTATCTCTCTTGGAAACTGTTCAGATAAAAAAAATGTCATTAATAACAGATTGCTTTCAAGATGCTGACTGTTTGCATGTGACAACTAATGTGCTTAAAGTGATTTTAGATTGTTCTGATTATGAGATTACCTGCTTTAAGAGCTGATCAACAGTTGGAATATAAATTTAATATATTTTTGCATTTTTGTCAAGTCTCGATATCAGAATAACTTACCTGGGATGTTAACATGCTAATGATAGCCGTATCATGCTGTACTGACTCAGGCCTCAGTGTAATGACCTATTTTCTAGAGCAGCATCTAGTGAAGAAAATACTACAGTTGAAATTATGATCAGTGTGAAAAAACAGATTTTTTTATGTTGCACTATGAAGCCCACCTTGTTCAGAGGTTAAACCTGAATTAATTCATGCTCATAGTCCACCATCCAAATATTCTGAGTTAAATTCCTCCTCCCAACATAAACTTTTAAACTGTCACTAATAGATTCTTAACAACATTAACAAAAAAAATCAAATTGTTAAATACAGTAATTCTTATGTAATATTGCAATCTGCTGTCTACCAGGTGATTTTTGTGTCTGTAATCCTCTCGTCTTTGCATTTCTGATGTTCATAAGCTGTGCTTTTTAAAATGGCCTGATAGTTTCATGTAGGTATATAGTCAGTAACGGATCTCCACAAAAACAAATGTGTGTGTGTAACAACCTGACTGTGAGCAAGCTCTTGCACTCTCAGGGAAATTTTGAAGTTGTTTTTTTAAATAAAATTCGACTAAATATTTATCAGGATCTGTGTCAAATAGTCAAAACTAATTTAAATGTAGTTTAATTAAGGTTCATCTGGCAAATTTCTATTCCATGGCATTACGCCCAATAAAACCTCAGAAAACTGAGGTTTACATTTGTCCAACAAATGACAGAAATAAAGTCACAGATGCAAACATGGTTGTTGACATTTCAACTAAACTGTTAGTTACTTTCAGCTACTATTTTGGGGAAACTGAAAATTAGTGTTTTATATTATAAATGTGGTAATAAAAATAAACGATGACAAAAGCACAAAATGACTCCATTTTACTTCAAACTTACGCACATATAGAGTAAGATCCTTGTCATCAGTGGTCGTAATCAATTGTCATGGTGATATTTAGAGATGCACCAATCAAGAAAGGCAAGCAGTTAGGGTTAGAATTTAATGTAAGAAACCCTATTGGATGAAAACAAGCTTTAGGTTTTTTGATAGATGACAGAAAACAACAGATAGAAGATTACTCTCATTTCATCAAAGCATTTCCTCTGATTTTTTACCTAACTCAAATGAAAGCATATTCCTGTTTTCTAGAAATCTTTAGTGGTGGACAAAGATGTGTTTTTAGTTTTGAAGTGTATTTTTAGTGTTTGGTCTGGTGATTACTGGCCAGATCAATAATGGAAAAGTGTTTAATTTTCACATCTGGTTGTTTCAAATTTAGGAATATAGCTACCGTAAGGTAAATAGAATATTGTTGTGCTCTTGATAATCCAAAGCACTGATATTGCCCTCATATATTTTTCTTAAACTTACACAAATGACTTAGGTTTTTCTCAATTCAAATCAGATAAAAATCCAGAAAATAGCTTTACATAATAATATTTTGTTAATGTTAGACGTTAAAATAAATTTTGCTCCAATTCTGACCAGCATTATTTTTCTGATGAGCACAGACAAGGATCAGCACTTTTATTTCTAATAGCTATACCATTAGAATACTTTCAGTTAGCAAGCCATGCAGTGGTTATTCAGATCTGACATAATAATTGTGTTTTTCTCATGAGGTATGGACTGGCATTACACCACTCCATGAGTCTGTCTCCAGTAGTTTCCCCATAACAGTATGTTCTTCCTAAAAGGCTAACAATACACGTGTTAGACCGAACAGCAGTTGAAAAACTGTTATACAGTCAAATTGTAGCAACGGTCACAACTATTTGATATAATCTCAAGGAATAAAATAAGTTATAGCTAAAGCTAACGAGTATGGCTAACCATTTAACACGATTTTATAGAGAGAAGTGATATTGATTCAACACAACCCAAAAACATCAGTAGAAATTTTATGCCAAATAAAGAATAAACACTGGCAAAGCAAGCATCTTCACCTGATTAACTTTGTGCTCACAATGTTAATAACACACTGATGCTAACATTGGCGTAACTGAAAAAGATTTGGTGTTTCTGTGTCATTGATGTTGTCCATTTTCTGTTCTGCAGCCTGATGGAAGGAGGCAGGAGTGTGTCTTTGTCGAGGAATTCCTGGAGAACAACTACACGGCTCTTGTGTCGGCCAAGTACAAAGGATGGTACCTTGGCTTCAACCGGAAGGGCCGGCCCAAGAAAGGCTCACGCACCACGCAGAGGCAACAGGAAGTCCACTTCATGAAGCGCCAGCCGAAAGGTCGAGTGGACCCGTTGGAGGAGTTCCGTTTCACCACAGTAACTAAGCGGACACGAAGGGCTCGGCGATTAAAAACCAACCCCAAGAGGAACTGACGGGACCGTTGGGAAAGCACTAGATGTCCTCACAGGAGGGAACAGAAACTGAAAATCTCAAGCTTCTTAAAAGAATCACCTTAAAGACTCTGCTTCTGTAAAAGAAAGACAAACTAAAAGAACAAAAAGTCAAAGATGTTTTATTTTTGTATTTCAGGATGACTGAATATTTCCTGACTCTTGGATTCTCCTGGGTTGATGTCATTGTGCTAATGTTTCTGTCATGTTATTTATACTGGATAAACTCAAGGACCTCTGAGAGAACTCGTGTCGCTGCTGTCCTCAGCCACGTTTGAACTGCAAGCTGAAGGCATACTTTCTTTTTGACAATGGGAGCTGAAGCAGGAGCTGACGCAATGTTATAAAAATCAGCCAACTAGAGATTTATTGGAATACCTGTTGGTTTTTGTTTGTGTTGCCCCTGACAACGCGGATCCCATACTTTCCACTGGAATTAGACACCATGGAGATGAAACGGAGAGAGGCGGCAGGTGACACCACGCTGCCGGGATAACTGTGTAGCTTTGAGTGCAATATTTTACAAGTCTCTTGTCCGCTACGTTCTTTCCATATGTCTTTCATCCCTAAAAGTCACTTGTGGCTCCTGGAATGCGCTGAAACCTCGCAGTCCCCGGTGAGATCTTCATGACATTTCCATGCAGCCTGCGATTCAGCTGAAATGCAACGTGCTTTGACGAGTCCAACACCCGTTGTGATTTTAGTCTTGTTTAAACACTGAAAGGAAACAGTACAAACAGAAAAAAACAGCGTAATTCCACACTGTCTTCCAGCTTCAACACACGTGGGGAAGGTTGTTAATCCTTTTTGTCTGTTTCTATCAGCTCTTCGTCACATGTGTTAAAACTGTTTCAGATATGGATTCCTTTTATTCCTAAACTGAGAGCTTGCCAGCTTTTTGGGGCTGACAATGACTTCCTCTACCTCTTTTGTTTATCTTTACCTGGTCTGATTGTCTGTGTTCAGTTAATCTCAACTTTGACCTTAAACTCAGCTTTTCTTCTTTTCTTTCTCTCACTTGAAGATGCTTTTGGAAAAGAAAGCATACCAATCATCCACAGACAGGAAATCTGTGCATTATCCTACATTATTTTATAAACCTCCATCTGATGATTAAAGCTTCTTCTCAAATACTGAGTTGACAGGATTCAGAGAATCCTTTCGGCCAGATTTCATGTCTGAATCATAAAAAGGGAAAACACTTTGCTTCTCACCGACAACAAACTCCAGGTTTTTTCACCAGTAGTTTGTATTTACCTGACCCCTGGCAGGTCTTTTTGTATGAGTTGCTACTAACAACATGACACATTTATGTTTTTTTTAAACAAATCTAAGCAAAAAAATAATTTTATGACTATTATTAAGATATTTATTGTCTCCTTTTGTAAATAAAATGTGAGTTTTATTTGGCCTCTTTTAATAAAATGAGGACTGTATTTAAAAAAAAGTTTGTGTTTATTACAGAAATACCTTCATGTGTCTCAGTTTCAGAATATTTTTGACCATGTACCCACTGAATACGACAGTCTTTGAAAGATGAATGCTGCAGGTAGAAGGTGGTTCAACATAGCGTACATTCCCTTCTCCGCATACTGCCAAGGTATGCATTTTTATATACAAACTCAGGAGTGTGAGGACTGCTTTTAAGGTCATCTCTTTAAAAAAAACTATTACAACATCTCTCAGAGCTTTTTATATCACCACAAAGGCCTCTGAGAGTTCACAAATCTGGTGATTTTACTGCAACGTTAATAGGGTTACATCTGCAAAAGTCATCATTGGATGAGAAAGCAGTACTTCAGTGTCTAGTTTTTGTTAAAATTACAAAAATAGTGGAATGAAACACAAACAGGATATTTTTTGCAATAAAAGAAAAAGCGATGAGGGAAAAGTTCCTTACACAAAGAGCACGTAAGTTATAACTTTGATGTAAATGCTATGCCCTTTGAATGTATAAACTGACACTATTTTGGAGTCTTTTGCATGTTTTTTAAAGTGCTAAAGGAATGCAGAGTAGCACATCTCATAATACTGTGTGCAGGAATGATGTTTACAGTTACTGTCAGACTGAAAGATGGAGGCTTTGAAGGGGGAAAAATACTCGTGTTTAAATTCCTTGCGATCTTATCAGGGCCCCCCTCCTTCACTCCACTCTGGTAGTCACCTCCAGCAGATCCAGAGATTCCCCATTCTGTCATGGGATTTCAAATGTCTGACCTGCTTTTAAAGGTGGAAACAGAGTGCTCGACGTGTGACCCGGTGATGCACCATTAACGTAATGGATCCGCGCTGAACACTCTTTGTCTTCAGGGGTTTGCTGTAAGAGGACTGGGGGATTTTGAAGAATGCTTTATGTGGTTTAAACTTGACTGGATGTCGTGTTTTTTTTTTGTACTTTGCGTGAGAAATAATAATAATAAAAACGGCAGGAGGGGGCTTCCAGAAAGGTTTGTAGTGAGTGACCAAATCTGGGCCACTCGTTAGCTTCAGGTGGCGTACTTCAGAATTAAATAAAAATATTGATTGTCTTTGACATTGTTTCAGCCAAATAACCTGTTAAAATATGTTTTTAGGTATGTGTGTACCAGATTAAATCAATTAGGAGATGCTTTTTTGGCCCCCTGCAACAATTGCAATGGTATTTTTGACATAAATATAAGATCCGGGTGCTATATGATCGTAGGGCCAAGAGAGTAACAAGTACACCCGTTCTTGATTCAGTATGTGCAGATGTTTCTGTGGAACTTGACACAATCATGAAAGACCGACTCATTCATGGATTTTTCTGTAGAGCAGATTTCAGATATTCTAATGATCAGGTTACTAACTAGTAATGATAAGGTTACCACTAAGTAACTACTAAGTAACCTGATTGTTACTGACTAGTGTTTGCAAACCAACCAATCTCGGAGGCATCACTTATTGTCCTTGGTACTGGTTTGATGTAACGTCAAGGGCTAAACTAAGGTAGACAAAGGATGTTTGTTTCTACAGTACTAATAATCTATTCATGTATAATTGGTGTTTGAACACAAATACTCGGTGTCCACAATTTCAATGTGAGGCTCTATGAAGGGACAAGAGGAAAGCTTGGTAAGATAAATAAATAATGGTTGTAAATTATCAAAGCATAATATAATATAATATAATATAATATAATATAATATAATATAATATAATATATACTTACAACCTTTGCTTCCTCTGTGTCCCTGTAAATAAAAATATATCCTATTTGTTTGGTCAATACAAATAAGTACTTTAAATGTATTCCTAGCTACTGAAATCTCTACTTCTTATGGCATTAGCATCTACTGTTTAGTTAAAACACCCTTTAACTAGTTGAGGAATCTAATCAATCCAACTTTACAAACTCTAGTTATGTGAGAACGAGGCTTTTCTTTCCTTTTACCCCTCGTACTGCATACTTCAAACTTGACCAAGCACAACCAAACAGCATCTGGGTATATTGACATTTAAACGAGTGCCAATGGTTTAAAACATGTCAGCCCATTCGCAAAAGGAGATGGCATTTTTTGCATAAGCCTCCCGCTAGGCTTTTCTCTGATTCAACCTTTGATCATTGGAGGCAGGATGGTCTTGGAAGTGGACCAATAACTTCAAAACGAAACATAGAATTCTCTTTTGCAAAGCTTAGCCTCCTTCTGAAAGGAGGTAGAATCTTTAAAAGCAGTCCTGCCTGCCAAGTAGGTTTTATTCTATTATTAGAAAGATCTCTGCATGCTAAAACTTTGCACAATGGGTACAGTATGACCAGGGCTGTGTCAATATGGAGAGAGAAAACCTTGTGGTTCTGAATAAGTTATACAAGCTTTAGTGCAACAACAACAAAGTGGTTTCTTTGGCCTGGAGCTCAGCAGCCACACACTTAACAATTAGCCTTGTCAACAGAAAAGTACATTCTTTGAGACATAAAACAAGCTTTGTATCTGTGAACGTAACTGAAATTGTTCCTCTAAGCCTGTAGAAAAATATAAAATACGAAGCCAAGCAAAACAAAGTTCAAGCTACTCTATACCTCGTGTCGCTAAATGTAGTTTCAAGTCACGTCATTGACTGTCTAAACAGCATTGCTGCTACCACCCGTCTAACTTACCCTAATGCTGACCACAGCTGACTGGTTGCCTTTTATGACTGGATTCCAATGGGAAACACTCTGTGATGCTCAAAGTATTTTTTTTAAATAAATGGCTGAGTTGTGTTTTTCCAGGATTACAAATGTGCTTACCATAAGTACACTTCATGCAAAGCCAGACCTCTTCTGTTTTCCTCTGAACAACATGCAACGTCAAACAGTTAAGAGACAACAACAAAACTTTTTGTAGATTTTTATTTTTATTTTTTCAGAATCAGATGAGAATTTGGTATCTTTCCAACACAATGATGTAAAACAAACTAATTTATACTGGAATTATACTTGTCTCATTGTGTGACACTAGTGCACTCAGAGCTGATTTTAGTCATGCTGAGGTGTGACGTTTTTCAGGACAGTTTCTACCCAAATGTCCTTCATTTCCACAACGCCAACATCAAGATACCAAATACTGGATTTAAACTGAAGAAACTATTTTTCACAATTAAGTTTTAAAGATCTGTCATTAAATTCTGATGTTTTTACCTACCTCTACCTGTGATCTGCTTCCCTGCTCCTATTGAATGACCTCATCCCCACAGCATGATGCTGAGGTCACTGTGTTTCACTGTGTTTTCAGGTTACTCTGACCAGAGCACCTTCTTTCGCATTTATATTATGTAACCTGATTAACTTGATACCAGGTGCAAATGGCTTTCTTCTGGCTATTCTTCCAGAAAAAACAGAAATGTGGATGGAGTTTGTCTGATTAACAGTTTATTTTTATTGTTTTAATCTTCTTTTGACTTTCTCCTTGACCTTCCTGCTGTGATACTTGGTTTTTATGATGCTCTTTCTACATCAACGGTCCCTACCAAACCTCTAAGGTCTTCACAGAACAGCTGCATGTATTTGTAATTTTACTTTTAAAAACAGAAAACAAAAACAGAATGTTCTTTTTCTTCCAGCAAAGCACGTTACTTTGTGGTCTGTCACATAAAATCTCAATAGAATATTGTGGCTGCAGCATGAAAGAAACTGAAAAAACTTCAATATCAAAGCTTTTGCATGGCACTGTATTTATTTTTATGGTTCAGTTCATTGTATCATTAAATTTATACATTTTGTTCAAATCTGTGGTTTAAGTAAAAAACAAAACAACAACAACATTTGGAGCTTGATCCACAAGTGACCTGGAAAGTTGTCTGTCTTTATATTAAATTAAATAAGACAATGAATAATTCATTTGAAGTAGAGCACCCTTTAAGTATTTCATTAAATTGATTTAGATTCTTATTTTCTTGCCCTAGCTTCACCTTTGAAACAAGTTTGATAGCATTTTAAATATTTGATGTATTTAAAAGTCAGAGAGGCATAGAGAGGAAGAGATAAAAAAAAAAAACATGTGAAACATGCATCATTACAATATTCAAAAACATGAAGCTCTTCACTAATGTAATATGGGAAACATTTCAAAGGTCTTTTATCCTTCGTCTGTGTGTAATATAACATAAAGGGAAAACCATAAAATGACACATAAACACAAATGCAAAAAGCTCGTCTCTTTCACAAACACACACACGTCAGCCCCGGTCCCAGCATCAACAGATGCCAGGTGACACAGCTCATTAACTTCTCCTTTCTCCTATTCTTTTGGCCCCTCATTGTCTTGAGATATGAGATGAGCCTTTGTTGAGAGTTTTGTCCCCTTTTCTCTCGGCCAGGCAGGGCCCATAATTAGTGCTTTGCGCTGGGCGTACTTTCTCACAGGGCTACGACACAATTAATCAGCACTTTCCCACCAATAGGCAGAAGCTGCTTGATTCTATCAAGGCCACATTTTTAGATTCTGACGCCTTTTTCCAGTAATGGTAAAACTAGCACACAATAGAAGTTTTTTTTTTTTTTTTTTTTTTTCTTTAAATAATAAATGGTGCAACCAAAGAATGGCAGATTAATAGAGGCATCAAGCTCTCCTAAACATTCAGTAGTCAGACATTCAAATGGCAGTTTTCATTGTTTAGGTCAGTGCATGAGTCAGAATTCAGAGCTATGTTACATAAAAAGAAAAAAAAAGTGAGAGACTGAACAAAAATGACATCAGCATGTTGCAACTCAACAGGAGCTCCACCTCGTTTTCTTGCATGCTCCACAATTTCATTCTTTCTCTTCAGTCATGCATCCTACTTATATTCAGAACAACTCCACTTTTTGTCAAAATTTGTAATACTT